TTAACCAGATGCACTTTCCTCCTAAGATCTGAACCCCTCCATAAGAAAGCATATTAAATTCTTTCAATCTCTTTAGGTACCTTCTCAGGCATCTTGAAGAGTAAGAGATAAAAAAAAATAGGCAAGCTAGCAAGAATATACTTAATCAAAGTCAACCTACCTGCAAAAGATATGAATCTTCTTTTCCAAGAGGTAAGTCTTTGTTTACATCTATAAAGCACTAGCTGCCAAGTACTTCTTTTACTTGGACTGGCACCTAATGGCAAACCAAGTATTTTAGAGGCAACTTTTGATGGCTGCAATTCAAACTTGCTGCAAATTCCATGCCAAGCTCATTAGAAATCCCCACCCTACATACCACACTTTTATGGTAATTAATCCTAAGGCCTGACATGATTTCAAAGCATCTCAGTATTCTCTTTATATTAATTAATTCCTCCAACTCAGCTTTACAAAACAGGATGGTGTCATCTGCAAATTGTAGGTGTGTGATTTTCAGGCCACTAGAACCTACAGAGGCTCCTCTAATCAGACTTAGTCCTATCCAACAAAATGCTAAGCGCTTCAGACATAATGTTGAACAGAAATGGTGACAATGCGTCACCCTGTCTAAGACCTCTCTGAGAGGAAAACTCTAGGGTTGGTGACCCATTTACCAACACTGAAATTCTGGAAGTTGTAACACATTCCTTCATCCAACTCACCCACTTGGTCCTAAAACCAAAGTTTGATAGCATAGAAAATTGAAATTCCCAATTAACTGAGTCATAAGCTTTCTCAAAATCAAGTTTAAGCACAATCCCTCTACCCCTAGCTTTCTTCCAACCATCTACTATCTCATTAGCAACAAGTATTCCATCTAAGATGTTCCTGCCCCTTATGAAAGCTGATTGAGCTTCACTTATAATCCTTGGCATCACTTGTTTCAATCTGTTTGATAATACCTTAGCCAATATCTTGTACAAGGAACCAACTAAGCTGATTGGCCTGTAATCATTCAGGCTGGATGGGTTCTCTAACTTTGGATTCAAGTTAATGTATATAGCAATTTTATATACAATGTTATGTACATCATTTGTGTTTTGATGCAATTGTTTGGGTTTGATTTATTTGTTTGTTGTCTTAATAGTGTTCAGCTTCTTTGGGAAAGAAAAAAAAAATGCAGCATAAAAATAAATAAAAAAAGCAGTATTCATAAAATTTATTTTTTTTAAATTTGTTTTCATTTATTTTTTTATTTACTGTAAGTGTATATCAAATCTTTTTATCACTAAGTGTTTTGTGTAATATGGTTCATTATAATTTTTGTTCTCTTCATTAACAGTATTCAGGTTCTTTGGGGAAAATAGTACAAAAAATAATAAATGTTCATAAATTTTTTTAAAAAAATTTGTTTTAATTTTTTTAAACTATAAGTGTATATCAAATCTCTTTTTCTGCAAGTGTTTTAAGAGTCATTGGTTTCATTTGTTTGCTACCAAAAAAAAACCATTTTAAAATTTTCTGGGTGTGTTTAAAAAATTTAGTGTTCTTCAGTGTTCTTGAATTTTACATAATTGTAAGTGTGCTAAGAGTCTTGAATTTTTATTTTTGTATTTTCTGTGTATTACTGTTAATTATACTTTTCATAGAAAATAAAATGATCCATTATGTTACCAGGTTTATTTGGGGGAGAACAAAAAAACGTATAGACTTAAAATTTGCGAAACATAAAACATGTGCAATTGTTTAAACTTAGATTAGACTTGAAAAGTTTGGGGTTTTTTTTTTCAATTTCACTTTTTTAAGCTTTTGTTTGGTTTTTCATTTTATTTTATTTTATTTTTTTCTGTATATAAATTCAGTTTTTAAAAATTTGATTTGTTTGTTCACTTAATTTTGTGTGTATCTTATTTAAAATAAAATCCAGTGCTCTTAAAAAAATCATATAAAATGAGTGTCTTGAGTTTTTTTTTTTTTTTTTTTTTTTTGTGTGTAATATTGTTAGTTATACTTTCTATATAAAAAATTCAACAATGATAGAGGGCCCTAATTTTTGTGGCTCAAATGGCTCGAATTTGTCAAAACGACGTCGTTTTGAGTACAAAACAACATCAAAATTGTCAAAACGACGTCGTTTTGGCAAATTTGAGCCATTTGAGCCACAGAAATTAGGGCCCTCAAACATTTTCCTAAAAAATTTTACAAAATGAAATGTTTCATTGTGTTATTAGGTTAAAAAAAATTATTATTATTTTTCTTGATTTATATCAACATTTGTGTTTGTGTGTTTATAATTTATGTTTTTAAAAAATTGGTTTGTTTATTTGTGTAAGTTTGTGTGTGTTTTTTTAAAAAACAATTCAATATTCATAAAATTTGTTTTATTTTAAAAAAAATAATAGTCTTAATTTTAAAAAAAAAAATTGGGTTTTTTATTATTTATATTAATGGTTAATTATTATTATTATTATTTTTTGTGTATATCAAATCTCTGTAAGTGTTCTAAGAACATGGGTTTGTGTTTTGGTATTTTGTATGTACCGTTATTAATTACATTTTTTTATTTTCTTCATTAAAAAGTAAAAGAAAAAAGCTATGTTATTAGATTTCTTAGAGAAAAAACTGACTTTCCTAGTTTATATTTTTTGCTAGTTGCTTTATGACTTCGTATTGTTCAGAATAAACAACTTCTTGGTTGATTCTCTATCAACACCTATTTGCTTTGACTATAAATATTTTATATGAGTGTTGGGTTTGTAATGCTTGAAACTTGAATAATTGTAAAATAATTCTATTTGGGCTTAAACAAATATGTAATTTCTTTTTCTAAGCTTAAAAAAAAATCAAATTTGTAATTTTTTTTTTTTTTATGTTTACTTAATGAGTTTGTGATGGTCAGAACAAATAATTTTATAGTTGTGTTTTAAATTTTGTGGATGCGTTTAAAAAATTTAGTGTTCTTCAATATTCTTAAATTTTACATAATTGTAAATGTTTTAAGAGTCTTGAATTTGTATTTTTGTATTTTTTGGTGTATTACTGTTAATTATATTTTTCATAGAAAATAAAAAGAACTATTATGTTATATCAGGTTCCTTCGGAAAAAAAAAAAAAAAAAAACTTATATTGTAAGTTTATATTCAATTTTTTATTATTATTATATATAAAAAACTATGATGCATAAAATATATGCAATTATTTAGACTTAGACTTAAAAAGTTTGAGGTTTTTTTCCCATTTGATTTGGACTATGTTAATCTATATCAAAATGTAAGTTTTTAATTTTTTTAGTTTTGTTTATAAAAAACTTCAATAATATTTACATTTTGTGTCTTTATATATAATATACCAATTAGAAAACCAAAGTTATTATGTGTACAATTCTGACTTACTTTAACAACATAAAATTCTAATTTAATGAATGTACTTTGTTTGCAAATTAATTTTTACATGTATCTTATATATTTTTTTGCAGGATTTGTAGGATCTTCAATCTTATGTTATCAAATTGAGATTTTATATGAATTTTTGTTATAGTGTTTTTTTTAGTTAAGATCAGTACATATTATATTATTTAAAAAAAAATTGAACAAATTTTAATATACATATATTTTATTTATCAAATACATTAATATCAAATGTTACATTACATACAGTTATACATATGATTTATATGTGCATTATTAGAAAATTTAATGTAAATTTCACATTATAACTCCAAACGAGTTTGTACACACATCGCGTATAACAGACCGTTAATATATAAGACAACAATGTTAAAAACATATAAATACAAATTTTTCACAAAGAGTGAGTGTCATATGTAAATCCCACATCATGTGAGCCCCACTCATTATGTAAATGTAATATATGATATACCTATGATGCAAATTTCAACAACAAAAAAAGAAAAGAAACATTCATGCCTACAATAAATATAATGATGGCCTATTTGACAACACAGTTAAAGCTTTTAGATTTTTTTATTTTTTAGACTCACATCACGCTTCTTATTTTTTTTATATATTTTTTCAAAAAAAATAAAAAAAGTCAAAAATATTAATTTTTAGCATGCTTTCCAAAGTAGGCTGATATCAATAGTAAAAAAGCCATTAAATTGTAATAAATTTTTGAAAGAGAATTTCAATTCCTAGCATTCTATATAAGTGGAATTACACGTGTTAATATATTTTTCATAAAATTTATCATAAAATAAAATTTTTCAGTAGGACTTCTCACTAATTTTCCTAATTGGAAATTTGGCACCTTTACTCGTATTAAAATAGAATTTTTTTTTTTCATGCCCCTAAATCTAATTTGTATTATAAGAAGAAGAAAAATAACAGCAGGAGGATTTGTCTTTGAGTAATGTTATGAAACTAACGTAATAAAAAATAAATAAATAAATTATATGAAACTAATAAATTTACAAACTTTTATCACATTATTTTAGTAATGTTGTTTTAGATTCCCAAGTTCATTATTGCACATCACAACTGTAACTAAGGAAAAAATTATAAAATTTTCAAATGCAGAAGTCTGTCGCAACATTATTTAAAAAATTAATGAAAAACAGACCCATTCGTTTTGTTGGTCCATGTGCATAGATCAAATTGATTTGATAATGTTAGGTATATAATTTTGTCATGTTTATCTTTTAAAAACTAAATTAGTCTCATTTCAAAATTATATTTATTGTTATTTTTTGAAAAAAACTTGAATTATTTCTTTAAAATTATTAAATTAATCTAATTGTTTGCATGCCCAGGGAGAGAATCCATTTTCTATTTACATTATGCTTAAAATGGTTTATTAATGATAAATAAAATTTGGATGATCAGTATGAATGAAAATGTCCTGAAATTTATTTCATCGCAACTATTTTATTTTTTATTTTTTATTTTTTTGTTGCAAATCTCCTTTTTATCTTCCAAATTATTTTGTCGAAAAAAAAAAAAAAAAAACCTTCACAATAATTGCAGGAAGGCGTTCATGCACATACAAATTAGTACAACGAGTGCTATAACATTTCAATAACAGGATAGATTTATGAAATTATAAGCTCTGTTTAACAAAAGAAAAATCAAACAATTAAAGAGAACAAAGCACAGAGCCAAAATTACACTTATTTTAACTCAAAACCATGACATAGGAACATACCTCCCTATCGTAGTTTTATTTTTGTGCTAATCATTTGTAGGCTTATTTATAAATGTATGCTAGTAATATATATAAATAGCATGCATACAATTATTAAGTACATCGATCTCTAGTAAGGGCGTTGTCCAATGTAGTTGCCTGGGGGATCATAGCTGCAGATAACAAACCACCAACCGTTATTTGTACACTGAACCCTAGCGCACCCAAGGCGGACCGAGTTTCTCCATACCACCTGGGTATAATGCAAGCATTGTTGTCCCCCAACACATGAGTTGGAGTTGTAGTCATAGTAAGGCTTTTCTCCCACCCAAAGGTTCACTCCGTCGGTACCTGTAAATGAACCGCTGCCCTCAGCAAGGTTCTCCCCATAAGGCCCACCGGAGTGGATGAGATTGCAATCACCCATCCTCGAATTAGCATAGTTTTGTGCATAGGTGGCAAGGTTGTTGTCCCATGTCATAGGCCCAACACCCACTTGGGCACGAGCTGCGTTGTGGGCATTGAGGTAGTCTTGTGGTGAGTTTTGGGCATAGGAATGATGAACCAAGGCTAAGCTCATGAGACATACAAAAGCTAATGAAAGCTTACACAGCACCATCTTGGCTTTTGGTCTAGAATACAAAGACTTCACAAGTAATTGATGGGAAATGAGGCTTGTTTGAGGGGATATTTATAGGAAAATTTAACTTTGAATAGTATGTGGAAAAGAGACACCATTAGCTATAGTCATCTACACTTTCCCCCTGGACAGAAATCTTTTATTTTGAGATCGTGTGTGTATATGGTGATTTTAATTTTTATTCAGATTTCATGTAAAATTTCAAAAGTAGCCCTACTGATTTTGAATGACATTGACATCAGGAACTAAGTATAATAGATTGCATAATTTAGAGACCAAAATGAAATAATTAAAAATTTTAAGATTGAATACTAGGAACACGTGTTGTGGGAAAATTATTCATTGCTTCTGAGGCATGCTGATATGGTACTCTAACTTGATTTTTATTGGTTGAAACAGTGAAACCCACCATATTTTTGGGTCTCTTTATACTTGTCATTCATTGAATGGTGTGGAGTAATATTCTAAGATCAACCAATAATCTAGTCTTGCAAATTAGGAGGGTCGTGAATGAGGCTTGTTTGAGGGGATATTTATAGGAAAATTTAACTTTGAATAGTATGTGGAAAAGAGACACCATTAGCTATAGTCATCCACACTTCCCCCCCTGGACAGAAACCTTCTATTTTGAGATCGTGTGTGTATATGGTGATTTTAATTTTTATTCAGATTTCAGGTAAAATTTCAAAAGTAGCCCTACTGATTTTGAATGACATTGACATCAGGAACTAAGTATAATAGATTGCATAATTTAGAGACCAAAATGAAATAATTAAAAAATTTAAGATTGAATACTAGGAACACATGTTGTGGGAAAATTATTCATTGCTTCTGAGGCATGCTGATATGGTACTCCAACTTGATTTTTATTGGTTGAAACAGTAAAACCCACCATTTTTTTGGCTCTCTTTATACTTGTCATTCAATGAATGGTGTGGAATAATATTCTAAGATCAACCAATAATCTAGTCTTGCAAATTAGGAGGGTCTTGGACAAAAATTGGGAATGTAGACTTAGCTATATTGCTTGGGAGATAAATGGGTGTACAAATCAAATAGTTAGGGAGGCGATTCAAGGGGATGCATAGTTGATAATAGTGGAGGTGCCGTCATGACGTTTGAAATAGCTTCTTGTTTAGGAGACATCTGATTGAACAGTTTATTAGTTTGTTCCTTGGCTTAGGCCTTCATCTTACCCCCTCCTCAAAAAAAAAAAAAAAAAAAAACTTCTCCATGGTGTGGGGTCCACATGATGTGGGTCCATGTAGGACTCATCCCATATGAGACATATGTGTCTCATTTTGTGATTGGTGTATGTACACCTAAACTCATTGTTTAACAAATTGTATATTTTGAAAACCTGTCAGGTGACAACATGATAAGTTTAAGAATATCTCAATCTTCACTTTTCTCCTTAAATTGTGATTTGAGTCGTATTAATTAGTTGATTGCTTGCAGAGCTGCAAAGATTATAAAAAATTTAAATTCAAAATGAATTTGTTCTCGATGCTAAACTCTACTTTTGATTTTTAATTTTATTTTGATATTGAGTATATCAAAGGAGATTAAGAAACTCCATGATAAATTTCGAATATGACATATTACTAATTTCAACAGATTAATTAATGGTGGGAATTTTTTCTAAATGAGATCACCATTTTGTGTTAGGAAATGGTCACGTATAGCCACCACTGGGTCATGGTCAATTGCGTGAACCATTGGAAGTTAATGGAAAAAGATAACGTAAAAAGGATTGAAAGAAAAATATTATTATTATTATTATTATTATTATTATTATTATTATTATTATTATTATTATTTTGGGTGATGTGTGTTTGTTTGAATAATCAAAACAAGGAATATATATAGTGCAAAAGACTTGTTTAAGAATATCAACCTTATCGGTGTCCAGAGGGATAATAATGTACTTGATATTCTATCGAATGAGTCAGGACTGGATCTCAATCTTTGGTTATATTTTTTGTTGATTATTTTTATGATTCATTAAAATTACTTTAGGCAAAAATAAATGTCAATAAATAATAGTTATCTCTTCTAAATATAGGGAGTGATTTACGCAAGTGAGATCATCACTAAGATAAATACGTACTGAAATAACTACGTAAGTAAAATCATCAATTATGTAAATAAATAAAGTTGTAAATTTCAAAATATAATTTTGAAATCCACCTCCTCTTATATAAATAGGCAATCTTGCCTTCAGTAGTAATAGACAAATAAATTCTTACCCAGGCCTCATTTTGGAATTTGGTTATTTTAATAAGTTATTTTAATTTTTGATTATTTTAATAGGTTAAAATATTTGTATTTGGGAAGAAAATTAAATTTTTTTGTAATCGAATATGATATTTATAAAAAAAAATAATAATAATTATAAATTTAATATGACATTTTATCTTATTAATTATTTTAACTTATTTTATATTTTTGTGAATGTTAACTAAAAAACCAATTTTTGACTTCTCAGAAGTCTTCATACTACCTTTAACTAACTTCTCTAACTTTGCCTAACCCTATAAATATCATAAATATTAGTCTTGTATACGGCGGTGTTTAGGAAGATTTGTTTTTTGGGGTTTTTTTTATTTTTTTCATTAAAAGACAAAATTTTTGTAAAATCAAAAAAAATAAATCTAAACAAAATATCACATTCAATCCTATAATCATTTCATTTTTTCTCTCACAAACATCACATCTAACTACAAAAAAACCCAACTATCTTCCCAAACATCAAAAAAAATTTATTCAATAATATCCTATAACTAGAAAAACTTACATAAAAACCCACTTCTCAAACACCCACTATGTCCATTAACATACAATAAGCATATAGATTTTTTAGAATAACAGGAACTGAAACAACTAATTACAAAGATTAATGAGTAAAAATTAACAATCAAACGTTTAAAATATTAAGATAAATTATGATAGCAGTTATGTATTATTTCTTGTGTCATTTTAGTCGATGTACTTTTAATTAGTTCAATTTTAACTTTAAATTTATAATTTTGTCTCAATTTAGTTCAATTAATTACAACTCTTAATATTTTTTTAATAAAAAATACACACATAAGTGTCACGTGTCATATTTTTAAGAGTAAAATTATAAATTTACTAAACTCAGTAATAAATTTTCTTAAAAAACACTAACAATATTATTAATTGGAACAAATTGAAACAAAAATTAAACTTAAAATTTAAAATTGAGCCAATTAAAAGTGGATGGACCAAAATAACATAAGAAATAAAATATAAGAACCGCCGATATGTAATTTGCCCAAATATTAAACATATGTTAAAACACAAAACATAGAGAATAAAACTTACAAACACACTGTGTATACTAAACTTGGTCTTGCTATTCAAGCCCTTCACCAAACTCTGATCCCAATGATTTTTTTTTCATTTCTTTCAATATGGTATTTAATTTTTATATGGGTATAAGTCTAAATTGGTTTTAACCTTAGCCTTTCATTACATTTTTATTGACTATTCTGTGACTCATTCTAATTCTCCAACAATATCTGATTATTTTTGTTTTCTTAATTTTTTTAATATTATATTCAACTTTTTTAGTTGGGTATGAGAGTCTAAAATTGAATATGCAACGCAATGCACGCATCTTCCCGATCCAAAAAAAAAAAAAAAACCGCAGAGTTTGGTTCTTACTGTGAATTTTTAAAAATAAAATAAAATATATATATGCTAGAAAAAATAAAATGCGAGGTTCACAAGATGATAATTTTTTTTTTTGTTTTTGATACAACGGAAATAAAAATGATAAAATTTTGGAGCTTTCAAATTTGACTCTTAAACAAATAGTGAATAATGAACGGCATTAAAAATTAAGATAGCATCAACTATGGCTATGATGAACAACCATGAAGTTGATGTGCAATTAAAGAAAGATTTTTTCTTTATTTTTTTTTTTACTTACCCAAAAAGAAAGACTTTTTTTCATTTGATTCACAATCAGGGGAAGACCTAGAAAGTGATTATAATGTGTCCCAGTGACTAGAAAATAACAAAGGTGTTCACATGTCTTTTGGGAAGTAAAAAAAAAGAAGTCAGCTTTTAATTTTTTATTTATTTTTGATCATATCGCATCTCATATTTTTTATTTACAAAAAGATAAAATAAATTAAAAAAATCAACTTTTTACCATCTACTAAAATTTAACGGTGCTGATGATTATGGCGTATGCTGCAAAAGCAAAGCATATTACCATTAGCGAAATTACCCCCTAATTTCTTATGCAAATATAGCATTGAGGGGGGAATTCGTAATTTCTCAAACCTCAGGGGGGTATCTGTAATTTTGTCAAACCTGGAGGGATGTATATGTAATTTGCCCTTTTTTTTTTACTTACCCAAAAAGAAAGACTTTTTTTCATTTGATTCACAATCAGAGGAAGACCTAGAAAGTGATTATAATGTGTCCCAGTGACTAGAAAGTAACAAAGGTGTTCACATGTCTTTTGGGAAGCAAAAAAAAAAAGAAGTCAGCTTTTAATTTTTTATTTATTTTTGATCATATCGCCTCTCACATTTTTTATTTACAAAAAGACAAAATAAATTAAAAATATCAAAAAAATCAACCTTTTACCCACTACTAAAATTTTCTCTGGGCGGAGATTAACGGTGCTGATGATTATGGCGTATGCTGCAAAAGCAAAGCATATTACCATTAGCGAGAGTGACTGGCATTGACTTGCATCACCTTATATATCCCACCATTATTCATGGGTGATGCAAATATGATTAAAATATATAATTTTATATATTTAATTTAATTTATTAGACTATTTCAGTTGGTCGCCAATATATACGTTTTAGCTAAGAGGGTAACGAGTTGATCCTTATCAAAAGTAAAGATTAATTATTTATATCTCATTATAAAGTTTTATTATATTAAATTTGTTTCTTCTCATAGTGGGCTCTTTCCTCTTTCTTGGGTTGGTGGTTGATATTGGTCATTGGGCTGATAGACTTGTGTTGGTGGTAGGGATGGTCACGGGTTGAGTTTGTAGTAACTTATTCCTATCTCGTATCATATCAGTAGTTAGGCAAATTGGCGGCTATTAGGGGCAGATGGG